TTGTTCGTGACCCATATTCCAGATTGTGGGCAGCCTATTTAGATAAGATTTTTTTATCGGACTTTTGGTTGTCAGCGGCTCGACTTATCGCTGGGAAAGGAAAAAATAATAGACAATGCACTCATAATATAACATTTAAGACATTTATAGAATATGTCATATCTATTAATGGATTTAAAGCCGAAGTGCATTGGAAGCCCATGATATACTTATGCGACCCTTGTGTATTTCGCCCTCAATTTGTAGGAAAAATGGAGAGCTTTTCAGGCGACACAGACAGTTTTTTGCAGTCTGTAGGTCAACAAAATGTTTTGAATTATATCCGAAACCAACCAGACCATAGCAGAAATGAGATTTCAATGTTGGTTTCAGATTATTATCGCACCTATAGAAAGGGTTCTTTTTCGAATTGTATTTCACAAAGTGATTTTAATCAAAGAATTTGGACCCTTTTTCAACTAAACGGACACATACCATCGAACATCAGCTTCAATCCAATTATACAACGAAATGAATCTGAAATGATAAGGCATATTTATTCCGTTTTAGAGTCAGCACCACTAAATAAACTGGCGTTAAAACAGCAGAAGAAACAAGCTATGATTGATGCTTTTAGATCTTTACCAAAACAGTATCTTGAGCAGTTATCTCAATATTATCAACAGGATTTTGAAATGTTTGGATATGAACCAAAACCCAAGGAACTGTTCTAAGAGGTTCCAAAAACGATTGATTCAATCTCATTTATTTGTCAGTTTGCGATATTTTAGTACAAACATCATATATTCCAATTTAATTGTTAGTTTGTGAAGCATTTTTTGATAAAAAAAATCATTTTAATTTATTTGTTAGTTTGTGGTGAAATATTTTAATATAAACATCATATATTCCAATTTATTTGTTAGTTTGTTGTGAGATATTTTAATATAAACATCATATATTCCAATTTATTTGTTAGTTTGTTGTGAGATATTTAACATCCTTACTATCTTAGTAAGAATGAAATATTATCCAATCACAAGTCTGTACTTGTCACTTTCAGAATTCCCTGTAAGGATGTTAATACAGACCCTATTACATTATTGCATACCTAAACTACACAAAATTCCTTACAAACAGTGATATAGCAGGTTCTTCTCGTTGTTCAACGAAGCCGCTTTCAAAATTACTTTTTTCAATATTAACTGCAGTTTAAAGGGCATCCCTATCATGTTAGAATCCCAACCTGTCAGATATCACGACAAAATATGTCCATTTCCATCAAACTCTGAGCATTACAAAAAATCGTTTTTGCCACAACTGTCAAACTGTGGAACAACCTTCCCCAAATTATTAAGTCTGAAAGATAGGTTGCCATCTTTAAGGAAGCTTTATCATCAAAAGATTACGTTGTCCCAACCTTGTTTAATTTCGGAACAAGAGCATTACAGATTCTACATTGCAGATTGAGCTGAATACACATAAATTTGCAATTTTTATATCAGATAACTCAACTTCTCCATGTGGCCACCTTTTACACTGTACACTATGCGCATCTAAAAGGCGATCCACAATTGACAAACTCTATCATTCAAGAAAATCAATCAATACACTTCTTATCGGAGATTCTCTGTTGTCCAACATTGAAAACGAAACTATATTCTCTATTGTTCACGACTTTCTCATGCTCACCACTCGTTTTAAGTTGTTGAAATAGATCAAACTACAACCAATATCTCGGTGTTCCACAAATCTATCTTTCCATACTGGAAACAGCCAAAGCCTGTCCAATGAGCTTGAACTTCACTACAACGTTTGCCATGAAACGTGACATTTCTTCAAAATGAATCAAAAAACCAGCTCTCTATCGTGTCCACAAACAATTCAAGGACAAGGGCAATAACTCATGGTAAATATTTTTCGATTCGTCTGATTTTCAATAGGGTTCATCCCTGGGTGATTACAAACACTCACACCAAGTTTCGTCAAAATCCATCAAGAAATCAGCTCTCTATCGTGTCCACAAACAATTCAAGAACAAGGGCAATAACTCATAGTAAATATTTTTTGTTTAACCAGAGTTTTTTAGTAATATAGCACTACCCACGTTTTATGACAACAACAACGCTAAACACTGAACATCGAAGTCATGGGCAGACCAAAAAAGGCATTTTTGACAAAAAGGCACAGGGTAGTGGAAGAGGTAAATTCCAAAGTACTCCCTCCTCTGTTTTCGAAAAATCGACAGATGTCGAGGATAAAAAGGAGGGATAACTGGTACTTGGACGAGAGCACCCCAATTCACGTTCATGTAAATATTGAAGATGGCGACATGAGTGTCCTGAGCAGTGCTGCTGATGGCGAGTTCACCATTTCCAAACCCTTAAGTCCACTCCATACTGATTAAACGCAAGCGTCAATATCAAAATTTAGAGGGTCCACCTTCACCTTACGAGGTTCTTCATGTTCATCTATGGACCCATCACATTGTTCACATGGTTCTAAATCACAAGACCCTAACCTTAGTAATAAGAAGAAATGAACCAAGTCATACCTCTTCACTGAGCAGCAAGAGACAGACTTAGCTGAGTCGTTCAAAGACCATGACATTGTGTACAACAGGCGCCACCCTGAATCTCACAATACTGTCAAGAAGAAGGAGATAATAATGGACAAAACGAAGACCTTTGATACAGCTCCAACATGTGAGTATGTAATGAAATATAACTGCATGTAATTTACTAATAACTTTTAAAAAATAGAGGTACTAATGCCGCACTTATTGTAATATATCACCTGTTCATAGTTCCTGTACGTTTTCCTATCCCTCGCCATACCTGTATTGAACTGCACCTAATGTCCCAATTAATTTCAGATGAACAAATGTTGACCTGAATGGATAACATGAGGACCCAGTTTGGGCGGCTCACCAATGCCAGCAGTAAAAGTGGCAGGGGCACAAGCCAGAACCTTACACCCAGGGATGTATGGATAAAGGAGACATTCGACTTCCTTAGGCCGTTCATCAAGAGGCAACATACCAGGGCTAGTGCTCAGGTATATATAATAGTAAATATGTACTACTTATTGTAAAACTAAAAAAGATAGAGAGTACAAATAAATCGTTCAAGGTATCAGAATCATATAATTACAGGAATACGATTGGACATCAACCGAAGGTCATCAATGCAACGTCTCGCAATTTATTTCATTTTATGTATGATGCACATTTAATCTGTGTACTGAGGAGATCATGATATAAATATTATATGTGTATCATAATGAAATGTTTCAGTTCTCTGAGAAGGAGAGAGAGTTAGAAGAGAGACACATCCGTTTCTCAAGCAGTGGATGCTATAGATAAGCTGTATATAATTATAGTGGGATGTATTTCAATCGTGTGTTTAATCTCTATTTAATCTCAGTATATCTTTCATGACCTTTCTTATTTCCAAGTTGGACTACGGTACTTAAACATCACATTATTTGCACGTGTGCACCTCATGTCCTCATTTTGGACATTAACTGGATATTCAAGCTGTTTTCAACTGTTACTATATATTTGTTGGGTCTTTAATTGCCAAAATAGTATTATGTTGGTAAAACATAAAATAATTATGCTCTGCTTATGTTTCAGCTCATCAACAGAGCCAACGAACTCTCTGTTACTCGATAGGACATGGAACAACCCAAAAATCGTACACCCCAGGAAGATAAAATTCGCAAGTATGTTGAATATATTTCAACTGAATTAATAAAGATTCCTGAGCACTTATGGTTTAAATATACCATGAACCACATGGGGCTTGTACACTTCTACATTGAGAGAGCTTCTGTTGCACAAGTCTGACATTTCCCCCATGAGAATCAGCCCATATCCAGAGCACCAGTCAGAACCACCAATATCCGCACAGGCTCTATAACTGTCCCCAACAAGAGCCGCAGATTACAGGAGACATACATCGTTCACTACCATCTTTACATTTCCAACGTATGTTGCCTCTTGATGAACGGCCTAAGGAAGTCGAATGTCTCCTTTATCCATACATCCCTGGGTGTAAGGTTCTGACTTGTGCCCCTACCACTTTTACTGCTGGCATTGGTGAGCCGCCTAAACTGGGTCCTCATGTTATCCATCCAGGTCAACATTTGTTCATCTGAAATTAATTGGGACATTAGGTGCAGGTAAATACAGGTATGACGAGGGAAAGGAAAACGTACAGGAACTATGAACAGGTGATATATTTACGATAAGTGCGGCATTAGTACCTCTATTTTTTAAAAGTTATTAGTAAATTACATGCAGTTATATGTCATTACATACTCACATGTTGGAGCTGTATCAAAGGTCTTCGTTTTGTCCATTATTATCTTATCTTACCTTCTTCCTGACAGTGTTGTGTATTTTTCGAAAACGGGGGAGGGGGTACTTGGGCATTTAACTCTACCTCTGCCCTTTCCCTTTTTGTCAAAAATGCTTTTTTTGATCTGCCCATGACTTCATTGTGTAGCACTATAATACCGGAAGTAGTAAACAGTCACGTGACTAAAAACTGTGGTTAATCGGGAACAACTCAGTTTGCTCGAAAACTACTCTTCCCGAACATATGTGGAGTGTCGAGTTAATTACGAGTTTCTTCCAAAGTTTAGGAATTTCACAAAATTGTAAACATGTTTAAAAAATTTGACTAGAACCGCGAGTGTCCACGAGTACAGCCAAGTTACAAATGAGTTTGTCAAGTTGACCAGGAGTGGCTTCCAAGGGTATTAGGAGTTTCCGGTTTGTATTCAAATCGTTCTCGGGAAGTACTCGGTTCTCAACTCCTGAAGATGAGAGAGGGGCTTTAAGTGTTTGTGGTGATTTGTGTCATTTAGTGTTTGATCTCTGAATTTGATTGGGAATGTGTTTATAGGTCTTTTTCTGCTGAATTGGAAAATTAATGATACTCAACAAACAGTAAATCCACACGACTAACACTTGTCATTTGATGACATTTGTATTGTCTCACAATAAGAAAATAATGAATAATTTTAATCATGTAATAAATGGATTTTATAAGCCTGATATGTACTATACAAATCCTGATAGTTTATACATTTCATTTTACAATTGGAATAAACTAAATGAAGCTGGATTAGTCTCCGAAAACGAATATTGCAAAGGAAAGAATGATTACGGCGACGGTGGAATTATATACGGTTTATATTTAGCACACAATATCATTCTAACTCCTGATGGTATTTTAAAAGAAAAGAAAACATTTAAAGGTTATTTTAATGATAAGATAAGTGTAGACGATAACATTCAGTTGGCAAATGGACATGATGTGTCGAATGAATTTACGAAAAGATGGGAAAGGATTTTCACCAATGGAATCGTTACTTCAAAGGATGAGGATAAACAAAATAAAGTTTTTCGAAGTTATTTGAATCATGTAAAGAGAGAACAACCAAATAGTGAAGGAATCATGTATCCTTATCGTGATAAAGATGAATTGAGTTTGGATGAAAACTATGAATTTGATGATTTGGATTATTTAACTATTCAAGAAGAGAATGAAGAGTCTTTATTGTTTTGTTTTTAAATGAAGTTGAATTACAATTTCTTCATTTATGAAGTCAATAAACCTATTTTTACCATCTTTGATTTCCAGATTGATATCTTTGATCATAAACGAATTAAGTGGTACATATATTTTTGAAATTGTTTCTCTATAATTCTTTATCCAATCGGTACAGTGAATGTTGGAATACTGTAAATAATCTGACGTTTGTATTTATTGAAAAATCCACCGTTTATCAAATTACAGTGAATATTAATGACATCAATATCATTCTCGGTATAAGCCTTATATGGTGCTAATGTTGATTCCGTATATATTTGTTTATCAAACCCTAGTAAATTATCTGAAGTATTTTCCACAGTGAAATCAATTTATTTCTATATTTATTTTTATAATCATTTTTACTGATGATCTTTTTCTCGAGGAGTCTTTTTAATATACAATTTACTTCATTATATTGAATATTGCTAATATTATTTGTAATCTATTAAGTAATTCCTCGTTGTTATCGGGTGAAAGATTACACCTTCTCCTGTACGTCCTAAAAAGTCATCGATTTCCTCTATAATGTTGTCACTATAATTATCATTCTATAACCTTCATAATGTTTTATATCATTTAATGACCTAATTACAATTTCACCATCTTCAATGATATATTCTATAGAAGGAACTTTTTGAACATGTTTAGTTGAAGCTTTAGCTACTTTTAGTTTCTTTTAAATATCCTCTTGAGTTTTTAATATTGGTTGAAATAGAGTTTGTAGATTTTCTGTTAATCCAAGTTGTTGTTATTCGTTATTTTCAACCTGTGACTTTATTTTATTCTTAGCTTTGATATATTGTCTATTTCTTTCAATCAATTTCCTACATTCCATCAAAAAAAAGCATATTAAAAATACCCTTATATAAAATAACATCTGGTTTTAAAATAATGTAGAAGGGAGATAACTCTTGTTTTTTGGAAAATTTCCACTCAAATTTTAAACCTTAAACATGGCAAATAAAATACTAGATCCAATCTTTAGATTATACGATCCGATTCGTTATTCATTTAACAAGAAAAAAGAGGATTATATTATCATCTCACCAACTGTTGGTTCTAAATCCCAATTGAATGATGGTGGTAGAATTACCTTCGAAATTAATTCATTATCGAATTGGTTGCTTCTTCCGATGCTTATTTCAGATGTGATTTCAAAATCAAAGACGCCACTCAGAATCAAGTACCACAAACTAATACAACGTTAGAAAACAATTTCTTTCCATCTTTATTTAGCGAGATGGTTTTGAAAGCTGGTTCAAATCCGATAGAAACAATTAAACACCCTGGGGAATTCGACACAATGTTGAAAACAGTTTTATATCCTAAAGATTTCGATTCAGTCTCAGGTTGGATACCCGATGTTGGTGATGGGAGTGTTTTAAAAGCACCGGTAAGAAATCTTGCAAATGATGCTGATTTAGCTAGAGTGAGAGTTGTTGCTCGATACACAATAGAAAGAGTAGCACGAGCAGCTAATCATGGATTCGAAAAACGAGTACTTCAGTACAATAATGATGTTGAGAATAATAGGTAGGGTAATTACGTAAATTGGAAATTATATCCTTTATTCGGTCTGTTGGAACACAGAAAGGTTTCCATAGAGAAATCAACGATGATAAGATATTCTTTGGAGAGAATGGTTCAGATGCAAAATTAGAAATAACGAATCTCCAACTTTTCATACCCATAATAACACCATCAATTGAAGTAGAAACGAGAATATTCAACTCATTAACTAAAGATATTGAAATAGCTTTTCTTCATCGTAACACGGTAGGTAGCATGACTTTAACGGGAGAATCCACCACATGGTCAATCACTAACACTATTAAACCAGCAAGATATTTAATGGTTGGTTTCAAGAACTTACCAGATTCTCAAACGAATAACGATAATGTCTTTAGAGTGGCAATGAACCAAATTCAAAATCCTTTAATCCATAAAGTTCAAGTAAGATTAAACAACGATAATTATCCTAACCAACCTTTAACAATTAATTCAACCACAAAGGATTATACTGAATTGTATAGAAACTATAATAATATGTGTGAATTATTTGGAAATCCACCTCAGTTTGAATATGTAGATTTTGCACTTAATCATCCAATCTTCTGTTTTGATCTATCAGCTCACCAAGAAGATCTTTTCAAAACAGGAGTAAACATAAATATTCATATTGAAAAAAACACAAGGAGATGTAACAGGTTATTGTTTATTATTGGAAAAAGCAAAACATTTAATTAAAATAACAGATAGAAGAATGATAAGAATTGAGTAAAAAATACACCTTTAAAAATGAAACCAGAAACTTTAGTCAAGAAAATAATAGAAGCTATAGAAACAGCTTCACCAACTGTAATAACTTATAATGGTAAAAAAATCAACATAACTAAAAAACTTATTGATGAATACAAATATTGTCAAGTCAGAGACGATATAGATTTAGAAAGAATTGACGGGAACGCAAAAGAAGGTGGATTTTTACCTTTCCTTCTACCTTTAATATTTGGTGGTATTGCAGCGGCTACTGGAATAACAAAAAACCGTCCTCTCAAAGAAAGCAGATGATGCTAAAGTTGCTGAAGAACGCAGACATAATTTAGCACTGGAAAAGAAAGCACGAGGTTCAGGAGTTGGAGAAATGATAGGCACAATAAAAGAATTTGGAAAAAGATTTGGGGAAGAAACCAAGAAAACTGTTAAACAAGGATTTAATAAATTAGTAGATAGTATTGACACAGGAGAAGTCAAAGTCAAACATAAGGGTAATGGAATATTTAAAAAAAAATATACATACTGGAGAAGGAATATTTCTTTCAAAGTATAAAGGAGAAGGAGTTATTTTTGGAACAAATTAAAATAATAAAAAATGGGCAAAAATTTAATCATTCAGAAATATTTCCTAATAACCCTATAACTCCTATGTGTATATGCGGTAGTTCCGGTTCTGGGAAAACTCATCTCACTTTTAACATGTTGACAACACCAAACCTTTTAGATTTCGATTCTTTGTATATCTACACAACAACACCAGAGCAATCGTATTATCAATTTCTCAAAGCTTTAGAATATTTACCAAAGAAAGATGTTTAAGACCTATTTCAATATTACGAAGAAAACGAAGAAGAAGTGGAAATAAAAGATATCATAGATATCGAAGCAAAGAATCCAACGGATATAAAAGTTTTTCTTACGAAAAATGTGAATGATCTAGACTTGTCTAATATTGATAGCAAACGAAAGAACTTAATATTGTTTGACGACTGCGTAGCGCAAAGAAATCAAACTGTTCAACAAGAATTCTTCACGAAAGGAAGACAACACAACTGTCACTGCATATACCAATCCCAATCTTTTTACGGGATGGATTCTATGTTTATTAGAAAAAATGCAAATTGTTTTTTATTATTTTAATTAAACGATAAAGATTTATCTCAAATCATTCAGTCGGTAAATCACGGAATGGACAGAGATGCATTTAAAAAGGTTTGTAAAGCTCAATGGAAAAACCCAGATGATCATGGATATATATTCGTTAATACTAGAAAACCTGCGGGTGAAAGAGTTATGACAGAAATTTGTTAAATTCTATTTTTTTAAAAATGGATAATTGGAATAATATTTTAAAAAGAAATAAAGAATATATCAAAGCTACGAATAAAATAAAGACCCAAGTTGAAAATAACAGATTACAACAACTCGGATTAACGGTAAAATCTACAAACTCTATTTCAACCCATATTAAAATCTCAAGAGGATATTAAAAAGAAATTAGAACTTTAACAAATTCAACAATCACCGGTTCCTTCTCCTTATCAAATAGAATATCCCATTAAAGATGATGAAATCATAATTAGGTCATTATATGATATAAATCGTTATTTTTCAAACCCTGACCCAAATTTACCAAAGACCATTTCACCAATCGTTGATAAAAAAAAAGGTTTATTGTTTAATGGATTTAGAATAATATTTTATAAATTTTACCCTTTATTCGAAATCGATACAAAAGACTTTATATTTACATTAACAGAAGGATTAATAGATTTAATGAATGGCGGGGATGATGAAATTGTCAATCGCAAGGATTTAGAACAATACTTAAAATTTCTGTATATGTTAAAGAGTGGGGTCAAAACAAGACGATTGATGGCAGTTGAAACATATTTAAATAAAGTTATTCGTGATGAAGAGGAATCAGATGATTATCCACCAATCACAGAACAAATAGACGAATTGGAAGAGGAGATAGCTAGAGAAAAAAGTGGACAAGGTATAACTTTTTTATCCGATAACAAAGAAGAATTGCTTAATAGATTACGAGTAATATTAGCGGCAATGAAGGAAGGTCATCGATCGCACAGACAATATAATGAAGTAAATTGTATATTAAAAAGACTCCTAGAAAAAGGTATCATAGATAAAAATGATTATAAAAGCGTGATTAAAAATGTCAAATAAAGAACAACTATTCGTCATCACCTCAAATAAATCAGACATTAAATTATCTCTAGATTATGAGTACGAACTCTATCGCAATCAAGAATATGAATATAGTATAGAAATAAAGTATTTCTCTGTTTACAATTCCAATTGTAACAATTTTGTTATTGTATTCATCTACAACCTCTGGTAATATTTTAAGCCATTTTTGAGATTTCAATTCCGTGAACTTTTTAAATAATTTATTTTTTAGAGTCCTGTTAAATCTTTCTATTACTACAGCTTTACCTTCGTTATGCGTACTGTAAATTTCAAATCCCAGAGATTTAATATTTTTGTTATAAAATTCACTTCCTTTATCTACCCACAGTTAATCTAGATGTCGGTTAGATTGTTTAATAATCGTTTCAAATGCGTGTTTGACTGATTATCCCGTTTTGCTTTTCAAAGGAATAACCCAAGCATATCTCGTATACAAATCTATAACTTTTAAGCAATATTCAAATCCTCTTTCGACTGGCATATGAATTAAATCGGCTGACCATATTTCATCTTTTTCAAACACTTTAACTTTTAAAAAGTTTTTAGTTTTGCTAAATTCTTTATGAATATATAGTATAGAAATAAAGTATTTCTCTGTTTACAATTCCATTAGAAATATCAACGAAAAAAATAATCAAATAAAAATATCAACAGATAACGGAGTTACGTTCAAAACCATACGTTTACTACCAGGAAGCTACGAATACATAGCCATTAACGAATACCTGAATATGGAGGAAGTGTTAATGGTAAAAACAATATTGAATTCGAAGGTAATTTGAATCTGAATAAAATAAAATTGATATTAGGAAATAATAGTCAAGTTGATTTCAACGTAGAAAATTCATTGAATACGTTACTAGGATTTGATAAACGAGTATACACCCAATCCACTTTAGCACCACACAAAGCTAATATCGAGAATGATATCGATGTGATAAATATACATTGCAATTTGATAAACGGTGGATTTTTCAATAAATACAAACGACAGATTATTTACAGTCTTCCAAGATTCACTGTACCGATAGGATATAGAATTATAGAGAAACCATTTCAAACGACGTATTTACCACTTAATTCCTTTTCTCTTTATGAGATTCAAATAACTATTAAATTTTTTAGTTTTTAGTTTTTCATTAGGAATAACTATTCCATCAGTAAAACTCTTCCCCCATGGTTTATCAAATTCATTCGTTACGTCTACCTTAATCTTATAGTTAGAGTAACCCTTAAACGTTTTCTTTTCTTTTAGAATACCGTCGGAAGTTAGAATGATATTGTATTTAACTTTTGGCGCTAAATATAAACCAAATATGATTCCACCATCACCGTAATCATTCTTTCCTTTGCAATATTCATTTTCGGACACCAACTCAGCTTCATTTAATTTATCCCAAGTGCTAGACGAAATGTATAAACTATCGGTATCCGTATAGTATATTTCTGGTTTATAAAAACCATCTATTACGTGAATAAAATTGTTCATTATTTTTTTACTGTGAGATAATATAAATGTACCTAAATGAGTGGGTGTTAATCTCGTAAAATCTTTAGGAGGAACAAACTCTTTTTCTTCGTCATTAATCTCCACAATGTATTGAGTCTCATTTAGTTTGTCATACTTCTTGACGTGTTTGTCGTAATTAAGGCGGAAGGTTTCTTCATTCCATAAATGCAATGAGGTATTTCTATCCCTCTGAATAGATTTACCATATAAGGAATTACCTAACAACTTCATGCAGTTACTGGCAACCAAATCTCCTTCCTTTTTATATTTATTCCTTAATTCCTTCAAAATTAAAATATTATCTCTATAGAGTTGAGTTTTAAAATTTTCTTGGTAAACTATACCATCTAATATTTTAATAATTCGTCCACCGGCTTTCACTATTTCTTGAATATCAACCGATGTTAAAACATCTGAACAGAAACCATTTCTAAACCTGATTTTAGTGCCAGTTTCCTTTTTACCTTCTTTGTTCATAAAAGTGATTTTATCTTTAGCTGGTATGGGTTGAAAGAACATGTTGGTAGGATATTCAAACCAAACTTTTAAAATAGCAGTTCTAGGTCTGAATTTCTGTTCATTAAAGAGCTTAACAAATTCTTTATTTTCTTCTGGTAGAAACGCTCTTGCACTTACAGCTTTTGGATATTCACCTTCTGTCATAGCGGAAGCGTACAAACCGTTAGCGTCAAATGCCATCAGTTTAGTACATTTTATTTTTTTAAGTCTCGAATGAACTTCCGTTTTATCTTTCGTGCTAGCGCTGTATTCTTTAAAAAAATCTATCATGTTATTACTCTCGAGTTCTAAATACTCCTTTAAAATGGCGCAAATTTCGTTCGTTTCAAATGATTTTCTGTTAGCAGAAACTCTTCCTCCTTTAATACTTTGTCTGATAAAATATCTTATAAAAGGGTGAGTATGCGAGTAAACTTTTTCTACGTTTTCTTTTTCGGTGTGTTTCGTTACCATTCTAGTACTTTCGTACCATTCTTCCTCAACCATTTCTTTATCGTAATGATATAAATAATACCAACCCTTTAAAGATAAAGAAGGAGCCGTTAGATTATTTGAAACGTTTTGGAAGACAGTTTCTTTCATTGATTGTATTTTATCAAACAAGCTCCGAGACATAACTTATCTCTTTTAGCGTAAGGTTCCCATTCGTGTCTTAAAGATTCCCAATTATCTTTGGTGTATTTTGCAATATCGGTATCGGCAATCTTTCTCAAATTCATCGGTAGATTAGACGAATTTCCCCATGTCGCCAAACTAGATTTTTCATGTTGATAGGAACAAGTGAGCCATATATTTTGTAAATATTTATTTTTATCAGATATTCGTTTCTCTCCTTTCTCTCTTTTTTCTCTTTTTCCATTTTTTCTGCAATCTTTCTTCTGTATATGGATTAGATAAAGGATAGAATTTTATTATCTGTTACTAGTGGATATTGTGTTAGTTTATTAATGCTTTGAAGTGCAATCCAGTTGTCAAAACCACTCCCGTTATGGGAAATTAAGGTTAATCTTTTTTCATCTACAGTACCTAAACGACGCATCATCTGATCGAAACAATCTGTTCCTACAAATATTTCTACTATATTAGTCATGAGTTTGTTGTAAAATTCTTCTGGAATGGGATCAGTCGGCTTTAAATCTTGGAATACTCTTTTAATTAGTTCTAGTTTTTTTCTTAGTTTTTCCAAATTGACTAAAGTACAACAATAAGGAAAGGCTTTGTTTTCGCTATAGGTTTCGCAATCCCATGCGTATAAAGTATCATCATGAGGTTGTGAAATCACGTTTAGTTTTAACTGAGCAAAACATGTTAGTGCATCATCATCCCCACAGGTTCTCCATACATTTTCATGGTAATTATCTTCTATTTCTTTAATGCCTAAGGTTTTGTTATTTTTTCTTATTAAACAGAAATGTTCTTTGTGTAAATAAAATACCCAATCTAATTCTTCGGATACTTTCTTTGGTTGAAAATGTCTATGTTTGGGCATATAAATTTGAAAATAAGTATTAAATTTCTTATTGAATTCAGAGATTCTAGCAGATGTCATAACTCCTTTTCTGTTTGATTTTTGAAAACTATTGACGAAATCTTGAAATTCTTTTGTTAAGTCTTTATTCATGAAGTGATTTACACACTTTATAAAACAATAACCATCGCTTGGTATGAAACAATTTTCGCCTTTGTATTCATTTATCTTTTTAAGTAAATTACCACCTCTGCCAGTTTTAGATCTTTATACTATTCTAAAATTATGTTTGCGGAAAATAATCTCTCCTGTAAAATACCAATCAGATGCGTCAGATTTATCATGCATCTTTGAATAAATAACTTGGAAAGTTTGAGCATTGAATCCAGATAATCTCATGTCTTGTCTATATTTCCCCACTTCATATATTTGACCATTTATTTCAATTTGACCTGTAATTTTAAAATCCTTAAATAGAATAGTTATTCTCTTGATTAATTCTGAAAAAAGCATATTTGTGGTTGATATTTTAATTTCATTCTCCTCTTCTTTAAAAATTTCGGCTGTCCTATCAACTAGATATTTAAATTTTTCTTCATCTTCTTCGTCAAATTTACGCGAAAATAAATTAGGTATTGCCTTGAATATCTTTGAAAAAAGTGTTTTAGATAGAGGTTTGTTTAAATTTTCAATTTTATCCATTTTCTTTTTTAAGTATCCATTTTTAATTAGGAATTTTTAACTTTTATTGATGATATTTCTACATCAAATTTATCTAAAATTTCATTGAATTTTTCTAATTCTTCAACTGTTATGTTCTTATCTTCTCTCGATCTTTCGAAAAAAATGAATAATTTATTAAGATATGTATTTAAAATTTCTGTTTTCCTTTTATAATGAGCTTTCTGTTTTGATGTAAAACCTAAAGTAATCAAACCACAAGATGAAGTTTGAACGGCAGTGAACGCGGCTAATACAGTTGGGACAATTATTGGAAGCATTAATCCACCGGTTACGGCTGTTGCCACCGTTATTCCTACTGTTAAAACTGTACTTAATGTTTTGAAAACAGAATCGATTCTACTCCATGTTTTTCTATATTTGTTGGATTGTTTTAGTTTTTCTTTTAGTTCGTTTTGTTTTTCTATCATATATTGTTGTCTACTTTCGAGTTCCATTTTTTAGGTAATTAAATTAAGTGAACTTCTGATAAAGCTGCTAGGTGTTTATTAAAAACAACTTCTACAGTTACTAACGATATTTGTTCTTTCGAATCATTAATCTTATTCAGATGAACTGAAAATTTTTCAATATAGATTGATATATTAACATATGCATCATCTCTTATCAAAAATTTTTGACTTTGTTGACTTTTATGAATATCAATTGAGGTAAATTTACCATTATCAACAAAATATAGTTTTACGTATTCAAAGTCTGTCGTACCATTGATAAACTGAAGAACTTTGTGAGCGTTAAATTTCTTAGAACTACGTGAGTTTTGTCTGAAGATTATTGAATCAACTTTTACCTGAAAAGGAAAATTAATTTCAATTATAAGTTTTCCTCGGAAAGTAAAAAATCTTGGAAATATAGCATAAAAAATATTTTTGGGATGAATAGTATATTTTGGAATAGAATATACTCTAACATTTGCAGTAAATCCATATTTTTTATATTCATAGTCTTTTGATTTATCAATATTATTAGTAATAGAAGCATTACTTATACCCAAATATACAAATGGAAGATTGAAATAATATGATTCTTTCTTGAGAAACTTTTTTTCTAATGCGACTATATTTTTGTCTTGTTTCAAAACTAGGTTATTAATAGTGGTTATCTGTTGTTGAATAACACTATCATCAATGATTTGTATTTGTTGTTGAATATAGGTTTTGATTTCGCTATCATCTATGTTTTGTATTTGTTGTTGAATATAGGTTTTGATTTCGCTATCATCTATGTTTTGTATTTGTTTTTTAATATTTGTTAGTTCTTTTTGTAATTCACTGTTAAGTTTAGTTTCCAGAGCATTTAATTCCTGTTGAAACGTATCTTCATTTTCATCTGTAATGTTATCTATTAATTGTTGAATGTCTAATTTTTGTTTTGCAATATTATCCTCTAATTTAGATATTAATGAAATTATATTTTGTAACTCAGTTTTATTCGCTACGTTGACCAATTCTTTTTGAATAAAACTTATTAATCTTTTTACCTCTTGTTGTAGTTTAGTATCATTAACAAAATTTTTATTATTTAGTTGACATTTGAAGAATCTTTTCACATTACTTATTTTATCTTCTAAATGGTTTTTATTTACTTCAATTGAATTTATTTGATCCCGTAAATATTTCTTGTGAACAG